TATCCAACACATTTTCATTTTCAGATAATTCATTAAATAATATATATGGTTGTTGATAAGTCATTGAATGAAGAATAATCATGAAAGAAGTATAATTAGTTGAAGTAATTTTAATATATTAGCATCATTTTGATTTTGAATTGTTGAAAAACTATCTTTATTTAATACAAGAGCAGATAAAGAGGGAATAAGTTCTCGTTGTTGTTGAGTGAGAAGAATATGTTTATCAGAAATGTCAAAACGAAATTTATATATGGGTTCTGTTTCAAATGAATTTGTCATTGTTTGGAAAGTCAATTTCGCCAAATAATCAACTCTGTTCTCAATATTGATCGTGTAGAGAACAAAATAAAACAAAGAATTACTTTCTTTTCGCTCTTAAAATAATCAACCATAAAAATATGTTAGCTTTATTTTTCTACCTGAGATATTGTTATCGACCACACTTTATCGACAGAATGACTAAAATTGAAAAGAAAGCATCAGTGCACACTGCTTTTAAAGAAAAAAAGAATTCTCATGAAACATATGAATTTGAATAGATAATCTTCAAAGATAAATTAATAGCCGAATAATGATCTTCATTCTTCCCTAGATCGAAAAAATACACGCGAGAACGACCGTATGCACACCAACATCTGAATATATTTCGAATCAATAAAATTTATTTAGAGAGACTTTCAAAACGAGAAACATTTATGAATAGTACGTCTACAATTATTTCAACTTTCACAGAAATTCTTTACTTCTAAGCAAATCCGAGATTGTGAGTTCTGTTGAAGAGAAGATCCTAACCAACACATTTATATCCACTCACCATCAAATCAAACAATATCTATATAAAAATGCATTTAAAAGATTTGTTTAATTTTTCGAAATAAGACTTATTTCGCATTCCGATCGAAATTAGTTGATTGAAGAATATGAGTAGCTAACTTTGAACCAGAGACACTCATTCACAAAAGACTGCAAACTTACTTTTCACATGTTTTTTATCTTTCGTCATTTTATTATTCAAGGTGATATGTGTGATAATTACTCTGTTTATGATTAGCTACATGACTATCAAAACTTTTGTTTTCAAATAAATACATCAAGGCTTTCTATGCATAGCTGATGAGTCTTTTGTTTGACGGCCTGTGACATATTTTCGAATACATTTTCCAAAACAATGAAATGCATTAATTTCTAGTTATTCAATAAATCATGATTATAATAATAAAAATATTTCTCATAGGCGTGAGGGTGTGAGATCTAGGCGTCTATATAGATCTTCCATTCTCACACATCCACATCTGCATCCTAGTGTACTTCAGAATTGAAAATTATGTCAAGATTTTTCTATAACTGTTAATTAATATTAACAAATATTTCATTTTCATAATCAATAGTTTTCCTAAAATACTTATAATAAAATGTAGCCTGTTCAATTTTGCATGAAATACTATATTTCTGCTATTGTTTTCTGTTCTTCGATGATAGCAAAACCGATAAGATAATAAAAGTGTCTTAAACTTTTGTCTGCTGGACAAAAAAAAATTTTGTCATACAAACTATATCAAATAAGCGACCTTTGATGAAAAAAAGCGGAGAAAAAGTATGCAAAAAATGTTGTTTCCATTTTATTTCCGACTAGATATAAACATTAAAATTACATGTTGTAATTAACTAAATGTATAGGAGAGGCTCTTTTATTATATTCAAGTCATCGAACTGTCAGAGAAAATCCTATTAAGTATTTATCTTTTAATACAACGAATCTTCTATAATCATTGAAGAAATTCTGATGACAAGCATTGAAAATATAATAAACAAGTTAAATTAAATTGCATAGTACGAGTTATATATTATGCAGTTTAAATCATTTATTGATCAGTTCGATTGAAATTTTGAATATTGCGAACTGACTTAGGTCTATTGTCATGTAAATGCAACGAAAAATGTCATAACAAACAAAAACATTTAAAAAAATGTTATTATTCTTTCGAATCACTTCCATATGGTAGAAAAAAAGGACCTGCTTATCCTTTGTATAGTTATAGAATATGTACAGAGATAGATGAGTACTGATTCTAATTGAATGCTGATCTCTTCTAAATAGAATCATCAATGTTGATGATACATAATGACAATAATAATAAACTTGGCATTTCATTTTTCTCCCTAGATGTGTATTAAAATTTAATCTCTCACACTAATTGTTATATTAAAGATAATACTGTCGAAGTGACCTATTTTCAGAACACTTTTCTTTTCAGAATACAAAATCTTTCATAGAAAATAGTTAAAAGCAAAAAAAAAATATGAATTGTACTCGTCTAACTTGGTCATCAAGCTCAGTTGAAAGTCTCAGTTCTACTATTATTATTTGTTTAATTGGTATTTTTACTCATACTATCTTCTGGATTCAAGTTATACTATTTTCATCATTAAGACAAAGAAATATGATGTGGTTATATGCATATTTAATAACGGATTTTTTTCTTCTAGCTCGATTTTTTATTTTTTATTGTCTACGTCATTGGAGTATTTGTTTATATTCAACATTTCAATTGATCATATGTTATTTTGAAGCAACATCAGATTTTTATATTAACATAGTACAAAGTTATATTTTGTTAGCATTAAGTACATGTCGTTGTGCACAAATTATATTTAATCGAAATGTTTTTATAAAAAATCCTAATTTGATTATTTTAGCTCATTGTTTTATTTATATTTTACCAGCACTTAATATCATAATACAAATTCTTGGTAATTGGACTGTTTTATTGAGTAGAGTAGGCGAGTCTTGTGATATAGTGTATAGTTCCTTAACAGTAGCAATATTTAATCTATTTATCATATATCTTATTCCAGTTGTCTTGAATATTATTATCATCGCATTTTGTATTCGTCATGTAAGTTCAATAAGAGGTATTCGTAGTCAACAAATAATTAATCTTCGTCGTAAGCATAAAAACACTCTTCTAGTTCAAACAATAATATTTTATTCAATTTGGCTTGTATTATGGAGTCCAAATGTACTTGCTTTTCAATTTATCTATGTTAATAGTCAACCTGGAATTTATACTTCTTTGCTTAATTATATAGAAATAACAACAGATCCAATTTTTGTCGCTATACTTGACATTCGTTTTTTTCAATCATGGAAAATAATATGGCGTAAAAT